TCTGGTTTCTCCCCATGTTTGTGGTTTTATCTATCTTTGGTCTTTGATGTTGGTGACCTACAAATAGGGTTTTGGTGTAGATGACCTTTTTGTTTATGTTGATGCTATTCCTTTCTGTTTGTTAGTTTTCCTTCTAACAGTCTGGTCCCTCAGCTGTAGGTCTGTTGGAGTTTGCTGGAGGTCCATTCCAGACCCTGTTTGCCTGGGTATCACCAGCCGAGGCTACAGAACAGCAAATATTGCAGAATAGCAACTATTGCTACCTGATCCTTCCTCTGGAAGCTTTGTCCTAGAGGGGCAGCTGCCTATATGAGGTGTCTGTTGGCCCCTACTTAGAGGTGTCTCCCAGTTAGGCTACATGGGGGTCAGGGACCAACTTGAGGAGGAAGTCTGTCCGTTCTCAGAGCTCAGACACCGTGCTTGGAGAGCCACTGCTCACTTCAGAGCTGCCACATAGGGACGTTTAAGTCTGCAAAAGTTGTCTGCTGCCTTTGGTTCAGTGATGCCCTGCCCACAGAGGTGGAGTCTAGAGTCAGTGGGCCTTGTTGAGTTGTGATGGGTTCCGCCCAGTTCGAGCTGCCTGGCTGCTTTGTTTACCTACTCAAGCCTCTACAATTGCGGACACCCCTCCTCCAGCCAGGGTGCAGCCTCGCAGTTTGATCTCAGACTGCTGTGCTAGCAGTGGGCAAGGCTCCGTGGATGTCGGACCCACTGAGCCAGGCACAGGAGAGAACCTCTTTGTCTGCCAGTTGCTAAGACCTTGAGAAAAGCGCAGTATTTTGGTGGGAATGATCTGTTTTTCCAGATAGTCTGTCACAGCTTCCCTTGGCTAGGAAATGGAAATCCCCCAACCCTTTGCACTTCCTGGGTGATGCGATGCCCTGCCCTGCTTTGGCTTGCCCTCCATGGGCTGCACCCACTGTCCAACCATCCCAGTGAGATGAACCATGTACTTCAGTTGGAAGTGCAAAAATCACCCATCTTCTCTGTTGATCACCCTGGGAGCTGCAGACCGGAGCTCTTCCTATTTGGCCATCTTGGAACACCCCCAATGAGCTATTTTTCATGTTTGTTGGCTGCCTAAATGTCTTCTTTTGAGAAGTGCCTGTTCATACCCTTTGCCCACTTTTTGATGGGGTTGAATGTTTTTTTCTTATAAATTTGTTTAAGTTCTTTGTAGATTCTGAATATTAGCCCTTTGTCAGATGGATAGATTGCAAAATTTTTCTCCCATTCTGTAGGTTGCCTATTCACTCTGATGATAGTTTCTTTTGCTGTGCAGTAGCTCTTTAGTTTAATCAGATCCCATTTGTCTATTTTGGCTTTTGTCATCATTGCTTTTGGTGTTTTAGTCATGTGGTCTTTGACCATGCCAGTGTACTGAATGGTATTGCCTAGGTTTTCTTCTAGGGTTTTTATGATTTTAGGTCTAACATTTAAGTCTTTAATCTATCTTGAGTTAATTTTTGTATATGGTGTAAGGAAAGGATCCAGTTTCAGCTTTCTACGTATGGCTAGCCAGTTTTCCCAGCACCATGTGTTAGATAGGGAATCCTTTCCCCATTGCTTGTTTTTGTCAGGTTTGTCAAAGATCAGGTAGTTATAGATGTGTGGTGTTATTTCTGATGCCTCTGTTCTATTCCATTGGTCCATGTCTCTGTTTTGGTACCAGTACCATACTGTTTTGGTTACTGTAGACTTGTAGTATAGTTCGAAGTCAGGTAGCATGATGCCTCCAGCTTTTCTCTTTCTGCTTAGGGTTGTCTTGGCTATGTGGGCTCTTTTTTGGTTCCACATGAAATTTAAAGTAGTTTTTTCCAGTTCTGTGAAGAAAGTCAATGGTAGCTTGATCAGGATAGCATTAAACCTATAAATTACTTTGGGCAGTAGGCCATTTTGACAATATTGATTCTTCCTTTCCATGAACATGGACCATTTTTCCATTTGTTTCTGTCCTCTCTTATTTCCTTGAGTAGTGGTTTGTAGTTCTCCTTGAAGAGGAAAAGACCTACTTTCTTACTCTGGTCACCTGGTGCTGTGTACAATTATCTGTATGGTATTGGACATGCCATTTTATCCTCGGTAAACCTGTTGCCTCATCTGCCAAATGGATTGGACCAGAACATTTTTAAGGTACCTTCAGCTTCTACACTCCATGACTGTAAGAAAGGGAAGTAGAATGGGGGATAGAGAAGAAAGGTGGGGTGGATGGGACTTCCCTGAAGAACAGAAAAAACAATTTCTTTGTCGCCCCTTTCTTCCACCCAGATAATTTCTTGTACTTTACTGGAGAATGTGTGACTTAGAATAACCTTTTGGAAAGCACTTTGACATTATCTTGTACAGCTGAAAATTCTCATGCTCTAAGACCCGGCCATTGTCCCTCCAGGTTTATACCATGAGAAATCATTTACATGCAGAAAAGAGACATGTACAGGAATGTTTATAGCAATACTAGTGTGGAAGGAAAAATTTGGAAACCTCTCAAATGTCCATCTGAAAGACTAGAGAAATAAATTATCCCAAAGGAAACAATGCCTTCCAATTGTTATTGTAGCAAAATTGAATTTGTTCATGTGGAAAACGTATTGAGTATGTTCTCTTTGCCTGTCACCCTGTCAGCTTTGGGTGTTCAACATATCTCTACGGCTAATGCACATTTCCTGCTCTTGTAGAATCCAATATCCTTTTGCTTTTTCTCACAGTATTGACACACTAGTTCAATTTTTCCATTAGTTGTGGAAATAAGGTACTAATATATCAATAGAATCTCTGATCTTGGTGACACTTCCACTGAAACTGTGAAATGCATTATTGTTTTTCTTTTAACAGACTAAAATCATCCCTTTTTTTCTTTCCACCTACTTTTTCTCTACACATTTACCTATTTTGGATGTGTCATATAAATGGAGGCATATAATATGTGGCATTTGGTAACTAGTTTTTTCACTTAGCATAATCTTTTCAAAGTTCATCTGTGTTATACTGTATATCAGTACTTTATTTTTATGACTAAATATTATTTTATTGTTTGGATACACCACATTTTGTCAATCCATTCATCAGTTGATGGACATTTTCATTGTTTCCACTTTCGGGGTTATTATCAATAGTGCTGCTATGAACATTTGTGCACAAGTATTATGTGGACATACATTTCCAATTCTCTTGGGTAAATAGTTAGGAGTAGAAGAGATAGGTCATATGATAACTCTATGTTTAGCTTTTTGGGGAATTTTCAAATTGTTCTGTAAAGTGGCTGCACCGTTTTACAACCCTATTGGCAATATATTAGAACTTCAATTTCTTCACATCTTTTATAACACTTATTATTGTCTGGCTGTATTTTAATCAGTATTTTGGGTGTGAACTGGTATCTTATGTTTTTGACTTGCATTTCTCCAATGTCTAACAATGTTAAACATCTTTTTGTATGAATATTGAACTTTAAGCTTTTGAAAATGTTTAATTTTATTTATTTTTTTACTTGTATTGCAAATTGACAAATTATAGTTGTATATATTTATGGAGTAAAAAGTGATGTTATGATTCATGAACACATTGTGAAATAATTAAGTCAAGATAAGTAACATATCCATCACCTAATATAAATATTCTTTTGGTGAGAAGATTTAGAATTTACTCTCTTAGTAATTCTGAAATGTATAATACACTATTAACTATATTTACCATACTGTGTAATAAATATTTTAAAAACTTTATTTCTTCTATATAACTAAGGCTTTGTATTTTTTAAATATCATATCCCCATTCCCTCCACTGCCAGCCTCTAGTAATCACCATTCTATTCCCTGCTTCTATGAGTATGATTGTTTTAGATTCCACATGTAAGTGAGAGCATGAGGTATTTGTCTTTCTGTGCCTGGCTTATTTCACTCAGGATGATGTTCTCCGATTCTACCCATGTTGTTGCAAATGACAGAATTTCTTTATTTTTAAGGTTGAATAGTATTCTATTGTGTATATATAGCACATTTTTTGATCCACTTACTGATTGGTGGACACTTAGATTGATTCTATAACTTGGCTATTGTTAATAATGCTGCCAAAAATATAGGAGTGTAAATATGACTTCGATATACTGATTTCAAAACTTTTGAGTAAATACCCCAAAGTGGGATTGTGTATCATATGACAATTCTATTTTTGGTTTTTTGAGGAACCTCCATAGAGTTTACCATAATGGCTGTACTATTTCACATTTCCACCAGTAGCACACAAGAGTTCCCTTTCCTCCACATATTGGCCAACACTTATCTTTAATCTTTTTGTTGATAGCCATTCTAACAGGTGTGAAGTGATATCACATTGTGGTTTTAATTTGCATTTCTTTAATGGTTAGTGATGCTGAGATTTTAAAAATATATATTTCTTGGCCATTTCTATTTATTCTCTTGATAAAATGTTTATTCAAGTTCCTTACTGTCTACTTTTTTTTTTTTTTTTTTTTTTTTAAAGAGATGGTGTCTTGCTCTGTTGCCCAAGGTACAGTGCAGTAGTGCCATTATAGCTCACTGTAGCCTCAAACTGCTAGGCTTAAGTGGTCCTCCTGAGGCAGGAGAATAGAGAGTTAGAGTAACCAAAGGTTAAGGATGATGGAAAAAGAACAGCAGGTGCAACCATTTCACGTAAGTGAAAGAAAAGCATGTGCAGACAGTTCTAGGCAAGATTAGGGAGCATATAGGCCCCGTCCTTGCTCCTGTGATAACAAGACAGAAGTTTCCACTTTAGCCTCTGATTGACTGTAGGCCAAGCCTCCACTTCAGCCTCTGATTGTTTGCAGGTCAATCCTTCATAGAGTGAAACCAACTGGAGACCTTTTAAAGGCACCTGGGGGGTGTTGCCAAGTTCTTTTGGCTTTATAAAAACCCTCGGGAGCATTGCAATGGAGAGGCTTTTGGGCTGCTTGCTGGAGCCTGCTTCTCCTCTGTGAATTATATTTTAGCTTCTTCAATGAATCTGTGTCTTTGTTACTCCGTTCTTTTGTTGCATTGTTTGTCTTTCATTGCTTTGTTCTTTCATTGCTTTGTTTGTGCATTTTGTTCAAATTTGTTCAACACGCCAAGAATCTGGACAACTCACAGTCAAGACCTTCTTGCTGACATATTTTGGTGAGCCAGCCAGGAGGTAAGCCCAAATTTTGGAATTTATTTTTCCTTCTCTTTCTTTGTCAAAGCCATCGTTTACAGACATGGGTTGGGCAGTTAAAATCCCGTAGGGCATCTGCTGCTTGAAGTCTCCCATGATAGGATAACTTGGAAAAGGACATTTAGGTCCTGCTGAATGCAAGACAAATCCATGCAGGTTTCTGTTTGTATGGTGAAATGTCTTTCAGAAGGTTAGAACCCTCATTTTCTGATTTCTATGTTTGTTTTTTTAAATTTTTATTTAATTTTATTTTTTGAGACAGAGTCTACCTCTGTTACCTACACTGGAGTGCAGTGGCATGATCTCGGCTCACTGTACACTTCACCTCCTGGGTTCAAGCAGTTCTCCTACCTCAGCCTACTGAGTAGCTGGGATTACGGCATGCACTACTATGCCTGGCTAATTTTTGTATTTTTAGTAGAGACAGGGTTTCGCTATGTTGGCTGGGCTGGTCTCGAACTCCTGACCTCAGGTTTTCCACCCGACTTGGCCTCCCAAACCGTTGGGATTACAGGCGTGAGCCACCGCGTCCGCCCTCTATGTTCATTTTATTGATGATTTGTGGGGAAAGCAGTAGTGCAGAATTACTTTTTTCTTAGAGTAGGGAAAGGGACTCCTGTTTTATGTATGTTTTTTTTTTTTTTTTTTTTTTTTTTTTTTTGCATGAGAACCTATAATTTTCATTTGTAGAAACAAACCCCTGACTTTGTTAGTTTTAAGCTACATTGCAAGGTCCCTTGTTTCACAAAGGTTACAGGCTGAAGCAGCTTATTTCACTTGGTAGGATGCAAAATAGCTGAGTATTGCATTCTGAGACTAAGGGAGTCATAGTAGGTCCATCACTTATGGAGGGAAAACATTCCGAGTAGTGCAATGGCCCACCTAAGTCAGAGACATCTGACACTCTAAAATCAGAGATATCTGAACTGGATAAAGACTGAAGGGGCCCGGGGTCTTCCTCACTGCCTCTGTTCAGGAACATTCATTACTACTGAGGAGCCCCAGGTAACTCTGGATGTAATGGGTACATGAATTCAGTTTCTTTTTTATACCGGAGTAATTACTCTGTCCTTACTGTTTGTGTGGGAAAATGCTCTACTAGGACCACGATTGTTGTAGGAATGGAAGAAAAAAAATAAAGTCAGTCATTTTGCCCCTTCTTTTAACCTGACAATTTGAAAAACAAATCTTCCAGCAGGAGTTTGTAATAGTACCAAGCTGCTGTTCCCCTTGTTGGGAAGGGATATTATGGTTAAAATAGGGACACTGATACAATTTAAGCACTGCCAGGGTCCAATTTTTTTTTTTTTTCTGCATATGGATATCCAGTTTTCCCAACACTCTTTACTGAAGAGACTATTTTTTTCCCGTTGTGTATTACTGGCAACTTTGTTGAAAATTGATTGACCATACATGTGTGGGTTCCTTGCCCAGCTATCTATTTTGTTTTATTGGCCGATATGTCTGTATTTACATCAGTACTGTGCTGTTTCAATTACTATTGCTTTATAGTATACTTTGAAATCAGGTAGTGTAATGTCTCCAGCTTTGTTCTATTTGCTCATGATTGCTTTAGCTATTCAGGGTTTCTTTAGTGGTTCTATATGAATTTTAGAAGTTTTTTCTATTTCAGTGAAAAATGACAATGGACTATTTATAAGGGCTGCATTGAATCTGTAGATTGCTTTGGATAGTATGGACATGTTAATATTAGTTCTTTAAATTTCTGAACACAAGATGTATTTTCATTTATGTCTTCTGTTTCTTTCATTAACATTTGTAGTTTTCAGTGTACAGGAATTTCACCTCCTTAATTAAATGTATTTCTAAATATTTTTGTAGGTATTATAAATAGGGATTGTTCTCATGACTCCTTTCTCAGAATGATCCATATATATAGAAACACTAGTAATTTTGTGTGTTGATTTTTATATCCTGCAACTTTATTATTTCTAACAATTTTTGATGGAATCTTTTGGGTTTTCTGTATATAAGGTCATGTCATTAGCAAACAGCAACAATTTTACTTCTCTCATTTCTATTTGGATGATGTCTTTTATTTTTTTCTCTTGCCTAATTGCTCTGGCAAGGACCTCCAATACTACGTTGAATTTGAAGTGGTAAGAATGGATATCTTTGTTTTGTTTTTGATCTTGGATAAAAGGGTTTCAGTTTTTCACTGATTAGTATAATATTAGCTGTAGGGTCTATAAGTAGCCTTTGTTGTATTGAGATACATTTGTTTCTGTATCTAATTTCTTGAGAGTTTTTATCATGAAAGGAAGTAGAATTTGGTCAAATGCTTTTTCTGCATTTAGTGAGATGATCATGTGGTTTTTGTCCTTCATTCCATTAAAATGATGTATCACATGTATAGCTTTGTGTGTGTTGAACCATCATTACATCCCCGGAATAAATTCCACTAAGTGAAGATGAATGATCCTTTTAATGTGTTGTTGAATTTACTTTGCTAGTATTTTGTTGAAGATTTTTGCATCTTTGTTCAGCAAGCATATTGGCCTGTTATTCTTTCCTCATTGACATTTTAAAAACTTCCTTGGAAAAATGTCTATTCTAGTCCTTGTCCATATTTAATTGGCTTGTTTGTCCTTTTGTTGTTGAGTCATATGAATTGTGTACCTGACAAATTCTGTATGAAAGTATATGTCTGATAAATTCTTATCTGCTATGTCTGATAATGTTCTTATCAGACGTATACTTTGCAAATATTTTCTATTCTGTGGGCTGTCTTTCTACTATCTAAAGTGCCTTGAAGCACAAAATTTTTTAACATTAAGTTCAGTCTGTTTTCTTTTGTTGCTTGTTGTTTTGGTATTATATTTAAGAAATCCATTGCCTAATCTGAGACCATGGAGATTTAATGCTAGGTCTTCTAAGAGTTTTATAATCTTAGTTGTTACATATAGTCTATAATCCATTTTGAGTTAATTTTTACATGTGGTGTGAGGTAGAAAAACAACTTCAATCTTTTCATATTTTATTGTTGCAGCACTATTTATTACAAAGACTATTCTTTCCTCATTGAATTGTATTGGCACTCTTACTGAAAATTGGCTGTAAACACAAGGGTTTATTTCTGGACTCATTCTATTTTGTTGAATTATATGTTTATCCACATACCAGTAATACACTGTCTTGGTTACTGCTATTTTATAATAAATTTTGAAGCCAGAAAATGTAAATTCCCAACTTTGTTCCCTGTCAAGATAGTTTTGTGGTTCTGAATTTCTTGCATTTCTATGTGGATTTTAGGATAAGCTTATCAATTTCTGCAAAAAAGGAAGTTGAAATTTTGATAGGGATTGCATTGAATCTGTAGATCAAATTCAGCAGTATTGTCATGACAAAATTACGTCTTCCAATCAATGAACATGGAATGTACTACCGTCAATTTAGGTCTCCTAGTTCTTTCAACATTGCTTTGTTTACACTGTGTAACTCTTGTTATTGTTAATTTTTTTCCTAAGCATTTTTTTTATTATGTGATGATAAAATGGAATTGCTTTCCTAATTTCATTTTGACATTGTTCACTGCTATCTTTCAACTTTGCTCAACTTATTAATTGTAATATATATGTTATATACACAGACATATATATATTTCAACCTTGTTCAGCTCGTTTGTTCTAATGTACATATTTTCTATTTTGGGATTCCTTAGTATTTTCTATATATAAGATTATGTCATTAGCTGGGCATACTGGGATATGCCTGCAGTCCCAGCTACATGGGAGGCTAAGAAGGGAGGATCGCTTGAGCCCAGGAGGTTGAGGCTGCAGCTAGCCCTAATGGTGCCACTGTACTCCAGCCTGACTGATATGAAACCCCATCTCAAAAAAAAAAAAAAAAAAAAAAAAAAAAAAAAAAAATCATGTCGTCTGTGAATAGACAGTTTTTCCTCTTCATTTCTAATCTGGATGCCTTTTATTTCTTTTTGCCTAATCGCCCTGGATAGAACCTTCAGTACAAAGTTGAATGGAAGTGACAATCAATAATGGATATCTGTGTCTTGTTTTTGATCTTAGAGGAAAAAATTCAGTATTTCACTGTTAAGTATGAAACTAGCGGTGAGTTTTCCATATATATCCTATATCAGGTTAAGGAAGTTCCCCTTTATTCCCAGTTTGCTGTGTATTTTTATTATGAGAGTGTTGGATCTTGTAAATGCTTTATCTGCATTGACTGAGCTGATTATATGGTTTTTGTCTTTTATTTTGTCAACATGATATTTTATACTGATTGATTTTCATAGGTTAAACCATCATTGCACTCTTGGGATAAAATGTACTTGGTCATGGTATATAATCTTTATATATATATATACACACACACACATACAAACACATATATACACACATATATGTATATACATATATATACACACACACACATATATATGTTTCTGGATTCTATTAGCTGATATGTCATTAAGAATTTTTGCATCTACATTCCTAAGGGATATTGGTCAATAGTTTTCTTGTAATGTCTTTTTCTGGTTTTGTATAAGGTCAATAATGGCCTTATAAATGAGTTTAGAAGTATTACCTTCTTTCCTTTTGGAATAGAGTTTTGGAAGAGTTCTTTAAGAATTGCTGTTCTGCTTGTGGGAACTAGGAGTGAAAAAAAATTGGTGTTAATTCTTTAAACATTTGGTAGAATTTATCAGTGAAACCTTATAGGCCTTTGTTTTTATTTATCATGGAAAATTTTTGATTAGTAATAAAATCTACTTTTCATAGATGTATTTATATTTTAATGTTTGAGTCCATGTTGCACTTTTTTCTGATAATTTATTGTATTTACATATTTCCTTAATATAATTTAATAAAAAACTTGCTTAGGTGTACCTAACCTTCTCTGTATACCTAACCTTATTTTTTCCCTTCCTTCCTTTTCTTTCTTTCTCTTTCTCCTCTTCTTCCCTCCTGCCCACAAATATTCATTGAGGGTTTACCATA